AATTTTAATAAATAACAAGTAATATAAAGATAAAAGTAGACATTGGTTCATGCTGGTTTTAGAATAATTGCAATCAACCACAATTCAAGTCTTAAAAAGGACATCGTGTATGTTTAATGTAAAACATGATTTCCTTCCTGATGATCTTAAGATTGGTGTTATTAGAAGAGGCATGACTTTCAAGATGTGTTGTCCTTCTAAACAATTTTTAAATGTAACGAATATAAGAAGATTGTAATATCCGAATTAGTTTTATAAGTAACGATTGTTTATTAATATGTTCCGAATTTTATAATAACTAACTACTGAAGATGACCACAACCAGATGGTCGAAACGTCTAGATTGACCTAAACATTTGTTATAATATATCAATAAATTAAGCACGAAAATCCAGCTTGGGCTCTGTAGCTTGTTGTTAATAATTTATTTAAATTATATGATTTTAACGCGCTTAAAAACTAACGCAAAATTAATATTATTGAAGAAAGGTGATTAAATTAATCCATGTTGAACGATAGGAGCTTGGTCTTTGGCGTCCTCTCGAAAACAAGCCAAATCAACGGTTTAAACAAAGACGCGCCTCGAACTACCTCTATCTCTCTTTAAAGACGATCAACATTAATTCCGCCTACTTCATTGTTTCCTTTGATAATCTCAAATTAATCAAAAACGGATTAGTAATGCCTCTAGATTAAATTTACCTGAAAATAAAACAAATTATTAAAAATTATAAAAATCCAAAAATTTTAAATTTTAAAATTATAAAAACTTTTTATTGTCAGAATAATCTCACGACTTAAGCAAACTTTACAGACCCAACTTAAAACAGTTATCTCTAAACGTCCCCGATTTATAGCAAACTCAAAATTTTTTATAAAACCTTATATTTCGAATATTTGATCTGGATCACGGTGTAAGAATATAAGGTGATTTCACGACCATTGTATTCTATCAAAAAATCTGTGATCAAGATGTCATAGTTAAGCCATGTCACACAAGATGTCACGTTGGTACAAGATCCCAAGTAAAAAAGGATAGAAGATGTGGATAAATGTGGATAGAAAAAGATAGATGATGAATCTCTAAAGCACATCTATTTATAATTATAGTCCTAAATAATACAAATTTTTTAAAATAAAACTTTTAACATTGTGTATAAAAATATATATTACTGACAAAATATTTTTTATTTTTTATAACAAATTATTCTTAGTTAAATTTGCAGAAAAAATAATTAATAGTGTATTCCAGTCTGTATAGAAAATTAAGTTTCTTTAAGAAAATGAATATTTATAATTAAGTTCCGCAGGACAATAAAATTTTAATAAAATTTCTATATATGTATATATATATATATATTTCAAGTCGCTCAACACGTAGCCACCTAGTTCAATGTGGAACAATGACAGGAAAATCACAAAATTTGTTGCCGTGCAACCACCTTATATTCTTACACCGTGATAATAATACAACGATACGAGAGAGCGAGAGTACAAGATTGAAAATTGTGAAGCTCTATCTCTATAAATTTAATCTCAATGGATTATATTTTGGAAGTTAATGGTAAAATAAAACATTAAAAAATACAATAAAAAATATGCCATACAAATTTTATTACTTATTATTATCAATAAAACATTTGTTACATAATTTATTATATTTTTCAGAATTCACGTGCAAACATTGTAACAACGCAATTGCTTCATTGGATCATTTTGCTAACATTACTGCTTATTGAAATATCACTATCACTACTTATCTCAGCAGTTTTAGTCAAAGTAAATATAACCTTACAATTCATCATCTGCAATTCACATAAAAGTAAAATTAAAACAAAATTTAATCAAAATATATCCTCATTCAAAATTTGGTTTACTATAAAAATTAATTACAATAATTTTTTGTTATTACAGTAATGTCAATCTCTTCTAATTTCGTTGTTACAATAATTACAATAATGTCAATCCCTCCTAGTAATAAAAATGGAGAACTATAATGCCCTCTACTGAGATTTTCAGAAATTAGATTTACACTTTATCGTTCCATCAAAAGTTTCACACGGTGAACCACAGTGCAATTTAGCGTGTTCTAGTTGGAAAACACCCAATAATAGTAATACTAACATAAAATTAAGAAAATAATGGCAAAAATAAGAAAGTGTTTTGTTACAAAACGTCACATGAGACGAGTAGTAAAAAAAGAATTAACACACATCTTGCAGTTGAATCGACAGTTAATACAGACGAATAATTTGCCTAATAACATAAAAATAATTATGAATACAAATGTAGATACTGCAAATAAACATAATAAGAAACTTGAACAATGTGAAAACCGATAATGTGATGATAACGTGATTCCCGAAATAATTCCAAAAGAAATTGAGAATGTTACCTTAATACTTTTATGCACAAAATAATGAGACAAATGAATTGGTATAAAGAAAACACATTGGTTTTAAAAAAAGTATGCAGTTGCATGTTGCAAATTACATATTTTTTCTTGAAAGCAACTATTAGCGTTTTCGATTATACAGGATTTGAACGACCCAGGGTTGGTTAATGACGTCATTGCAACCTCTCCACCAATGAAAGACTTGCATTTATAGTAAAATAGTGATTGATCAACCCTGGGTCGTTCAAATCCTGTATAATCGAAA